GTTTCCTTCCAAAATGGAACCACACGGGGACATTCCCAAAAAATGTGAAAATGATTTGCTGTTGCATGTCCACAATGCCTCCAGCATGTTGTATTCTGAGAATAATTGAATTTTTGGGCTGGGGTAATAAAATAACGAATTACGTTCTTCCAGCTGAATTCCCTCCACGAGGGGGAGCTTGTTACTGACCACTGCTGCCTACAAATCCCATCCCATTCCTCTCCTGTTAAGAATAGATTGCTCTCTGTTTCCCATCTTCCTTTAACATATCTTGTATCATGACCCTGTAGATTGATCAGTGAACAATATAATTTGGAAAAAATTTTTTGATAGGGTCCATCTCTATACGCGTTCTCGAATATATTTATAATCTCTTCATTCCCAGTTGATAACTGAGAATTTTTTAGCTTTTTATTCAGGAAGTCCCTCAGTTGCAAATATCTAAAAAGATCTTGATTTTGCAACCCAAACTTTTTCTTAAGGTCTTGGAAACTCATCACTTTTCCATTTTTCAACAAGGTACTGTATGTGGTGAGACCTTTATTTGCCCATGTTTTGAATGTCGAGTCGAACTTACTAGGCAAAAATTCTGGGTCATATGCAAACCATTTAAGGAAACCGGCCCTCTGGTTTAAATGGTACTTTTTAAGTATTCTTCCCCATATTTTTATTGAACTTACTATCCAAGGGTTGCCCGGGTCTCCCAGGAGTCGTAACTCTGACGGATCTCCTATCAGTGCCCCGACAGGAAAATTACCTCCCAAGGACAATTCCACTTCCTTCCATGTGGGAAATAGATTCAGAGATTCCCGACATTCCTCATCATACAGAGGTCCGTTGGCTGAGTTGGGGAAAAGTTCTCAATAGAGTTTTTGAGCTCAGCAAGGAAATCTGTCAGTACATGGATATGGCATGTATGATGCGGTGAAGGCATTTCAAGTGAAGCTGTCACAAATGCACCAGTGCAACCTGCCTCACTTGAACCAAGTCAGCGGACTTTGCTGAACTGCACCTGTGCAGATTCAGATGGAGCTGCAGTGTAATGGGACACTCAGGGCAAAGTACGACACTAAATGGCCCGCACAGTTTATTAGTTCCATTCCTGCAGCAATGCCCAGCTCCGTCTACATGCGGCTCCAACCTTGTGTATGCTTTCATTTATTTTTTCTGCAGTTTTTGGCAGCATGTTGATATTTCTAACTTGCATAATTTTGACAGGATATATTTTTATGTGGAGCAAAATATTTATAGTTAAAGTTTATTTTTTTAAGTTGATTTAATCTGGAATAATATTCCTGTCTGTTTTCCTTCATATTTGTGTTTAAAAAACATTGTTTTAGTGTGTTCGATAAATCTTTATCTTGTTTGGCCCGTGACCTAAAGTGTGCCTTGAGTTTTGGCCCCCTGTGCAATTGAGTTTGACACCCCTCTAGCGTAACAGTCAGGTAAGTACGATACCCAATCAGACAATTAATGGCTTAGTGAGGGACCATGACGATGGCATTTCTGGTAAGTACAAATAGATAGACATTCTTTTTTCTTTCTTTCTTTTTTGCCCAAAGAGATCATTAAACCACAGTCAGTAGCACAGCCCTTTTCTCCCTGTAACCAACCTGTCTGCCAAGATGCCTGCCAGCCCGCTAGCTGGTCCATGCTAAGTGTGTGGTGATAATACTGTAATCAGGCGTGTTAAATAGACCGGCTTGCAATAAGTCTGATGAAATCTGTTCCCGCTGGGCTGCACTACAAGCCAAGACACAAACAAGCAGGCGCATTCATACAGCACACAACCCCAAAACTATATACACATGCACATATGTTTGTATGGACTTGTGAGGATCTACACTGACACAACACATACAGTAATTATAACTACCAATCTAATCAACCAGTAATCTAAACGGAACAGTCATCTTGAACTAATCTAGTTTTAAAATGTTATGTTAGGGCACCAGGATTGTGCTTTAAAAGGAAGTCTTCAGTTATGGGGGTAAAAGATCGCAATGTCATTGCATCAGGGTTCCAGTACAGGGTCTGCAAGAAAAAAACATTAAACCTGGCTTAATGTCATATTGCAAAGTGCTATGACTAACCTGTGGATGTTCCTCTCAATGCAGCAAGTTTCTTCTTCAGTAGTCATAATATTTTTAGCTAAGAGACAGCTGAAAACAAATGATTCACAGGCACAGAAATAGAGAGTTAAATAAGTAATTGTTTGCTTGAGTCCATTAGATATTTGAGTCCATACTTGTGTGATGAGGTGAAGTCTTATTGATCTAAGGCTCGTATTTGAATTTGTATCAAATCTCCAGTTTTTCAATCTGCAGAGTGGACCAAGAGTATTTTGGGGGAATTTTGATGACCAGTTATTCAAGTGCGTTTTTGATTTGCAGCATCTGGCTGCTTCCAAAACTTTCTTTTCCACAGCTGTACTTAAATTCCTATGTTTTGGGCAGCAACCTTTCCTCAGCCATTTCCATTTTCCAGCTCAGAGTCATGGCCTCAGATTTGGGGGAGCTTCACACCTAATGGAGTCTAACTCCATAACCAAAAACTGCAAACCAAACGCTACAGGCATTAAGTCCGACCACATACAGCAAATCGGTATTAATAATTATGATACTTATGTAACTTATGTAATACAACAGCGACTCAACTTGGTCACGTGTAACGATAAATATTATAAAATACACAGAAAATTGTTTTTTAATGTTCCTCCTTTTTGTTTCAAAAATACCATTTTCGTGTTTCATCGTCACAGATATACAAAGTAGTGTTGGGCAATTTTAGATTCAGTGGGTGACAGCTGTTGTAGCATGAAGTAAACGTGTTGTGAATGCCTATTTTCATTAATGGAGCAGGAGTAGATTGTTCATGATAGTGGAAGCCATTAAAGTCATTTGAGCAGCTACTTCCACACTATCAACATCTTATTACAATCATATTAGTTGTATTGATTTTGAAGTGTAGCCCGGAGCTCTCTATGTCTTTGCTTTTGGCAGACAGCCAGGATCTATAGAGAGGAACAGGGTGACAGCAGTCTGATGGCCAGAGGCGTAAAAGCAGGAAGCTTGTCAGTTTGAATTTCCAGACTGGTTGGAAGCATCTGTGCTGGAAAGTGAGAAAGATGTGTTTCAGTCATTTCTTTTTTTTTTGAATGTTTGCAGGCCCTTCGACGACACAAATACTGCGTTTTCACGTCACCTGTCTACTTGCAACAGGACAGGAGGGTTATGATAGGAGATAGTGGTAAATTTACCTAATTACTTTCAGGTGTAAGCAGCTTAAACGCCTTTCACATAGCATAAACTATAGCTTCTGTTTAGTCTCAGTCACCAGTTTTCTATCTGCCTGTGTTTATCCAGTTAATAGGTGGTGGACTCTAGAAGAGTACAGCATTTTATTTGTATAGCAATCACATTGGGGTATTGTCAATAAAAACAAACCAAAACCAGCTGTGATATTTTTAAAAACTGCTGGTAGTCATGCAGTGGAAAATTGTGTGGCGAAAACAGCACTTTTACCCAGCTGAGTTATTCAAAGAGACACAGAGCAAAGCCAATATGTTGCTTTTGCTCCTTTTGTTCTTATGAAAGGGATGAATTTCTCTTCTCTTGCAGATTTAAAGCCAGCTTTAACCTCTCTCACCCTGCGTTTGTATGCTTGCTTGTTTTTAGCAAAATTCTAATGCTTCTAAAGACGGGGGCCATTGAAGAGGTGATTTTATGCATCCACGGGATTCTGCTATTCATACAAGTAAAAAAAGCACACCAGCAAAGCAATGTTGTTAAATTATTTTGTATATTGTGCAATGTTTAAAAAAAAAAAAAAGAAATATTGAAAAACTGTGTGGATGAATAGTATGTTCAGTCTTAAACAGACTGTACATTGAGTCTGCATGAGTGTTGTGGAAGTCACCAGCTTTGACCCAGCGTGGGTGGCTCCTAGAACTATACTCCACTGACAGCTGCACATTATAAATATACTCATAAGGGTCGCAAAATTGCACAAACTGAGGACATATTTGCAGTAAAATAAACTATGGGCACTACAGGTAGGAAGTAGAATGTGTTTTTCTCAAAACTGGTGAAATGCACTTCTTTTCTGTGATCACTTTAATTGTCTAGATGTAAAAAGCATATGTGGTTATCTCTGCCTCTCTGCCGTTGCTCTGGGTTCCATTCAGGGTTTATATATAGCTGCCGGGTTGTGCGTTAGTGTGCGATAGCTGTCTCCAAAGCGACCAGCTTCTCACTTCCCACTCCCTGACGCAAACAAAAAAAGCATCTGTGAAGAGAGAGGGGGTGTCAACCTTGCAATCAAAACCAGATAATCAAATACTAATCTGATTACTTAAGTGCAAAGTGGGTGACGTGTTTCGTTTAACATCTGTGCAATTGTAATTAAGGGCCACAGATATGTGCTGTCCTGCTGAACCTCAACTCCTGCTTAGATTAGACTCAGTTATCATGTGACTCAGTCTTGTGGTTAAAACAACATTACAGCGAGAGGTGAAGTGTATAGTTAAACCTATAAAAAGTGCAAAAGGAGAAGAGCTTTTCTTTTTCACGAACTACCTGTGTTTTTTCACTGCTATCAATTTCCATGAAGCATTTATAAACAGTTGAATTTTAAAGTCAATGTAATTAACCGGTTTGTTAGACCATATAATGAATGATATCATTTTTCTTTCTTTGAAGACATATTTTATTCTACAGTAGAAATTGTAGCAGCATCTTTGCAGCTAACGATAGTCTTGTCTTCATAAATTGAAGAGAAGTGAGCTGATCCTGCATTTTCTTTGTGATGGCATAGATATGAATCATAGCGCTTGCCATTGTCTTGGTTTGAAGTAATGCAGCACTTCAACTTAAAGATTAACTGTTTAAATATCTTAAGAAAAATCCAAATAAAGTACATTTAACTAATACTTGTCTCACATGGATAAAAGTTTCCGTTTGTTCAAACTTTTAAACTCTGTCTTCTGCCTTATTCTACAGATTGAAGACATTATCACTCGCATCCAGGACGAGACGGACGGTGTACCCATCAGAACTGTCAAAAGTTTCATGACGAAAATCCCCAGTGTCGTTACGGGTAAGAAATCAAAAGAGACAGATGTCAAGCAAAAAGCGACCTAACCTGCACTGTACAAACATTAACTATAGAAGTGCATCACTGATGGACATTAAGTGCCCAGAGAACAAAATGAGACGATGGAAAATGCTGATGTCTGTTGGGCCTCTTGTTTTAGTGAGGCTGAAAAATGACAGTTCAATCAGCTATTCCAGGATAATTTAATCAACGTACTTTAATTTGATATTTTGAGATATTTACTTATTCAGCTTCTTTTTAAGGTTGTATGTGAAGAATTATTCCTGAAAAAAGGAAATATGGAAATATTAACAATCTGGGTAGACTTTATAAAAAGGTAAACTGTCTGTTAATTGCAGACTTATGATACACTATACACATAGGTATGAGCAGGATATCAATTTCCTGCCTGTCATCTAGACAGAGCATTAGTTTATTTCACAACACAAGGGTAGGCATCCAAAAAAATCCATCTTGCAAGGTATTTTGTGAAACACAATACAGTACATCCTAGCTCTCCAGCTTGGTCCCACATTTGTATTCAAATAATCATCTGCTTGGTGGCTGCATTTCAGTCTGTTGAGGCACAGAAAAGCTGAATAGCTTTAGGTAAAAGTGGGAAGACAACATATGATTAAACGTTTGAAAAAGTGTGTAAGTGCATAAACAGAATGACTAATGCTGTCCTACTATCAAGGTGCCCTTAAGTGAAGCAGTCAACCCCTGACTTCTCCCGTAGAGCTGCGACTGTGGGGATCTGTGCGTCAAGCTGTCCAACAACAGAATAAACTTTGAATTTAAATGAAGTAAAAACAACAAAAGAAAACATTATTTGTTAGTTGAACCTGATGGGTAGGGATGAATGTTAGCCCCCTTGCCAGCTGGCTGTAATCACTTTCACTGACAGCATAAATCATTCCAACAGGCTGGTGCTGCAGTGGGAGGCTTTCACAGCAAACGAATGAAACAAATGATGAAAACAAAAACATAGACTATTAACACCTCACCCCCCACCACCACTACCCCAGTCTTTGCATTAATGGAAGATGCATACCCAATATGCAATAAGCAGAGCATATCAATAAACATAATTACCCCAGCGGCTGATGGATATGCAGAACAGTATCTGTCAAATGTTTGCAGCTGAGTGCTGAAGGCTAAGAAACTAATAACTGATGAAGAAAATAAACATCACCTCACTAAGGAAAGTAGAAGATATTCTAATTCCACTCTAATAGAGTTTTAAAGTCTCTAAATATTGATCTTTTGAGGTATGGGATCACATTTAAAATCTTTTATATTTATATTCAAATGAATACCACTGTTTTGGGTGAAATAGTTGAAACATTTGAGATTTTGTTTTCTGTTAGAGGGAAAAATACTGATAAGCTAACCTAGTTTTTAGCATGCAGAAAGCCTTTGATTATGCATTATGTCTTATGTCTTTTATTATCATCATTCTATTACCTTTAGGTTTTGTCTTGGAAGTGTAAATTGGGGCACTTGTGTATTTACACTCATTGGCCACTTTGTTAGTTACACCTGTTCAGTGCATTTAGGCATGTAGGTTGGAGGTTCAAACCGAGCATCCAAATAGGGAAGAAAGATTATTTAAGTGGCCTTGAACATGGTGGTTGGTGTCAGATGGGCTGCTCTGAATATTTTGGAAACTGATTTACTGGGATTTCCCCATCCAAACATCTAGTTTTATATTGAGTGGTCCAAACCTAAGAATGGTCAGATTGCTTCAAGCTGACATAAAGGCAGCCATAACTCAAATAACCACTTTTTCCATGACCAGCGTATGAAGCAGATGAGCTACAGCAGCAGAAGACCATACTGAATGGCACTACTGCCAGCTAAAAACAGGAAATTGAGGCTACAATTGATGCAGGGTTTGACAACAGAAGATGAAAGAAATGTTGCCTGATCTGATATTTTTTTGGCTCACTATGGTCCATTACTACCAAGCGAGCATTGCATTGTTGCTGTCAACATCCATCCCTGTATTTCCACACAGTACCCATGTTCTTTCAGTTGGATAATATACCATAGTACAAAGCTCAAATCTCTCAAACTGGTTTCTTGGTCATGGTTAACATTACATTTTACTTAAATGGCCTACAGTTGCCAATTCTCTATCTAAAAGATCTGGATGTGTAGCTGACAAATCTGCAGCAATTGCAAAATGTTATCATGACTTTATTGGACCACGATCTCTGAGGAATGTTTCCCACACCTTGTTACATCTATGGCACTAAAAATCAAGGCAGTTCTGAAGGTGAAAGCCACTCCAACCAGTTACTAGCAAGGGGTAACTACTAAAATGACTGTTGAGTGTATATTTTGCCCCAACAATGGAAGCCCCCTTGTTTTGTTTTTTGTGTCCTTCTATCCTGCCCCCCCGGGCTGCTGTATGTTTAATCCCAAATCTATATCTTTCAGTACATTATTGTAAACACACCATGTATTGCAGCTATTTATCTATCCTCATCTGATCTGATACAGGTGCAGATATTGTACAGTGGCTGATGAAGAATCTGTCCATTGAGGATCCAGGTATGTTTTTAAAATGGGAAAGCAGAGTGTACTCTGCTGAATGATTTCTAAATGCCACAACCTCCCATGATAGCAGAACAGCAGGATTTATTTATAAAAAGCATGCACGCTATATAATAAGAAATACAGGGGTGTGTCTATCTTTATGATAGGTTTTTGAACAATTGCCTGCAATAAATGCTTACAATGAAGAGATGTTTATAGTGAGCAGGTGCATTGTTGTTCAGAAGACCTAACTACAAAAACTTGGCAATTATCTGTAGAAATCATTTACAAGTTAATACTATAGAGAAAACATACCAAACAGGAAAAGAGGCAACTAGATTGTTTTTTTAACAAACAGAATTTGTTTTATATTTGTTGTTTCGTTGGCCTGACCTAAAGCCTGGTGGTGGGAGAGCAGTGTTTATTGTTGGTACAATAGCCCACGGCCTGGACAGTGAATCAGTCACTGAGTCATCCATGTACATCCCAACCACCTCTGATTCCCATAGTCCTAGCAGAAAGCCACTTTAAACAGACAAACAAACAAAACAAAGGTTCAACAAGCTGTGTTGATATATTTGCATTTCTTAAAATGCTCCACTTCAAAAAATATTCCAGGGATGGTATACTTGGCAGGTGATTCATAGTTTTGTATTAATGTAATGTTACAAAATATCAGTTCCATGACTGTCATATTTGATCTCATTGTCTAGATGTTGTTTCAACCGACTTAATTCTATCCATACTGCAATGTAAATACTGTCTGCAATGCTGAGGAATCTACTGTAATCTATTTATCTCTTTATTCTGCTCCTTTTACAGCTGAGGCGATGCACATTGGGAGTTTAATTGCAGCTCAGGGGTACTTCTTCCCAATCTCAGACCATGTCCTTACCCTGAAAGACGATGGAACTTTCTACCGCTTCCAGGTGAGCGGACACACCAAGTGGTTAAAAACACAGAGAAGGCTATAGGAGGTATGGCCACATTTAATTATTAGCAAACTCAAGATTTATACCTGATGTGAAGCTTAATGAGAAACGTGACAATCAGCATTTAGATACTTCATGGTTATTTCTAGGTTAGTGTCTTGTTTTGATAAATATCGTAAAATTATTTTCTGTATAGACGGGTGAAAAATTCAAGTGAGTAAGTAAGGGATTGAACCACTACATGAAACTGGATAGCTAATGATTACCTGAAACTCTGAATTTACAGAAAATGTTAAATTTTTGTGAAACATCTATCGTCCGATAATGATACAGTTATCGGACGATAGATGTTTTATATCGGGATATGAGGTTTTGGTCATATTGCACAGCCCTCATAGCCCCTGGGATCCCTGGGTCGCGCAAACCCGTCCATCACAATAAGGTAGCGACTCGCGGAGGAGGACCCGGGGCAAACCCAGGACACATTGGAGAGATTATATCTCTTGGCTGGCCTGGGAAAGCCTTGGTGTTCCCCCGGACAAGCTGGAGGAGGTGGCTGGGGAGAGGGAGGTCTGGGCTTCTCTGCTTGGGCTGCTGCCCCCACGAACCAGCCCTGGATAAGCGGAAGAAAATGGATGGATGGATGTTACTTTTGATAGCTATTCTTAACATGGTGGAAAAATTGTGGTTGACTCAGCACATTCAGATAGCTTTTGAAATGTAGATATAGTAAGTTTCGAGTACCGGCTCTTTATTGTCAATAGATGAAAATAGTTTTTCTTTAATGTTCCCTTTTATGTTCCCTTTTATGTTCCCTTTTATGTTCCCTTTTGTGCCAGACATGACTCTCACACTAATGCCTTCTTCATTCTGTGTAATTGTAAGAGATAATAAAAAACCTCCAGCAAGTTTAAACTAGCTGTGGGGTCGCCTACAATATCCCAATCAGCCACTGACGATTACTTGTTTCGTTATAGAAGCACTGGGGCCCTGTCCACTACAGTTTCTTCAGTACTATGTTGGGATCCTGTGACCCTATTAAAAATGGATGGTGAGCTGTTAAAATATTCATCAAGAGCTCAGAGGAAGCAGGTCTGGTCCGGGCCAAATAGGCAGCTACCAGAATCTTTACAGGGACATGTAGTGTAGCAGCCCACACTACAATTAGAGACTCATATCAAAGAACAAAAAAAAAATAAAGTAAGGCTGACATTTTGTGCCTCCTTCACTGTTCACAGATAAGGCAGTGGCATTAAGCTTGCATATTAATTATGCCAGACTGAAGTCTCTAATTAAAGAAAGGAAACCATGTTTTCAAATTCCTCATTTGTGAATGCAAAAGCAGCATGTGGTGCGATTAGAATGATATCTATGTAGCATCTTCTTCCTATACATACTGCAGTTACAGGATTGAATCTCCAGTGAAGCCAGAAGAGCAGTTTAATTAAACCAACAGTGCACATTAGGTTATTTGACCTTGGTTCTCCTCCTTCAAAGTGAAGTGGAATAAATGAGGGGAGGAGGAGGAGGTCTATTTGCTGTAGCCGAAAGAGCTTCATAAAGATAATCACCACTCATTAGCATTTCCTTTTGGAGGCAAATCAAGTGCAAGATAAAGAGAAACACAGGGCAGGCAAATCACAATTATGTAATATCTCTTCTCAATGAAAATACTACAGATGGTTTGGACTCGTTTAACAGTTTTACGTAGTTTTTTGTCAAATACAGAACCTGTCCTGTCTGTTCTTTGCCTGGCGGCTTATTGTTCTGTTTTCTGACTGTTTACTTCCCAGCTGTCATTCTTTTATTGTTTTCTGCAATACTTTTCCATGAGTAATAGCCCCCTGGGGTGTTGCAGAGGTGTGAAAAGTTTTAGAAGTTGGCTGTTCTGAATCTCTCCTGCCCTGATAATAAAAAATATTTTGATTGGTGAAGCAAGACAATCATGTGCTCCACTGTGTCTCAGAGGCAAACAGCTATCTTGTAAAGGTCATCATCATCACTCCAGTTTTGTCAAATAGTTTTGACTCATAAATCGTGACCTGGGAGGTTCAGGGAACAATCAGCAGCAATTCAGCATCACTTTTGATTTTCACATTTCTACTTTGTTTTGTCCTCAGGCGCCATATTTCTGGCCGTCCAACTGCTGGGAGCCTGAGAACACAGACTATGGTGAGAAACTTCAAGGAATATCTTGACATTTTGTGGTTTTTGATTGTCCTTTAAGTTTTAAAGAGCAATGCTTTAGTCATGAGATTAATTAAATGGATTAGAAATAGTATACGTGGGTTGGAAACAGTAATATGGCATCATTGCATGGAACGAAACCTGCTAGTGTTATACTGAATTTAAGGTGAAACTAATGCTTTCTGTGGTCCCGGTCTCTAATCTAATTTACAACAGCTGCTTCTGAGGTATTATGTAAAGTGCAAACTACACCTCCAACATTAGCAGGGTATGAATAACCATCAATAATAACTGAGGGATAAGATATGGATCTTATCAATCTACATCTGATCTTGAGGCAAAACCTTTGGAAAAACATGTTTTCTGACTGCCTTTTTATTAGGAGCAGAAAGATTATAACTGGATAATTTATCTAACTTTTGTCTGTCAGCTCAACTCTGAACAAGCTTTATGCAGCAAAAGCTAGACTGTGTAGCTTAAAAAGTGATTATAACAAGCAGACACCAATTAAATATCCCACTGTAGGGAATATTAATAAGTAACTAATTGGGGATGCCTGCAGTCAGCTGAGCCTGACCAAGTAACATGGATGAGTGACAAATCGTTTCTTCCACAGAAAACGCTGCATCCAGATAAAGAGAATCAACTTTATGCATTAATTTCAATATGTCATAATATTCTTATTAATTGATGAAAACTACATATTTTCATGTCATAATGTCTCACCAAGACACAGAGTTTTAACCTTTATTTATTTATTTTTATTGAGTTGATATAACCGTGCTATTCTTTTCAATACAGTGTTTCATTTCAAGTCTTGACTATGTAGATTTTTTTCTGATTTTTCTGATTTGAAGAAAGATGAAGCAACCGTAAACAGATGAGAAGGCATAAGCCTGCAATTTATAACTAAAGCTCAACAAACTCCCACTGAGCAAAGCACCCAGTAAGCACTGTACTTTTAGTTGAGGAGGCGAACAGCTGACATGATTAGTCAATCACTGTTCCACTTCCTGCCCTTCATCCTTTCAGACACAGCCACGACTGGAGTTTTTGGTTTGGGAGTTCAGGGACTCTTAAAACTGCCTCATAATCCCAATGGTGGGCAGGCAGCTTGAGAGGGATTGTAGTCCATGTAAAATAGGTGGTGAGGAGAGGAGAGGTGGGTTGCACAGAGAGTGAGAGATGAGCACAGATGAGTGAAAAGGAGGAACAGGGATGTCTCTGTGATTAATTCTTTCTCTCTCTTTCTCCTTCAGCTATTTACCTGTGCAAGCGGACCATGCAGAACAAGACGAGGCTGGAGCTGGCAGATTATGAGGCTGTGAGTGTTGAACTGTTGCTCTAAGCTATTAGTCCAAGTATTGATCAGTGCGTCAAGCGCTGGGACCAAAAAAATACAGCCTCTTAAAGGTCAGACAGGCGTGTGTCTGTGATGGCATGAAATCTAAATTACTTCTTGGAGCAGACTCAAACTTTAAAACTGTCAAATGTATTTAACAGTATTTTTTTCCCAACTATTGTTTTTCCTTGTTGACTTTTGATAATGTTTCTATCTCATTTCTAACAGGAGAACCTGGCCAGGCTGCAGAGAGCTTTTGCCAGGAAGTGGGAGTTTATCTACATGCAGGCTGAGGCCCAGGTCAAGTAAGTGTGATCTGTTACCAAGGCAACACATGAAACTGCAGTGCATGCACTGATGTCATTCACACTCAAGGTAAAAGACAAGCAATCATGAGAAGTGAGCATTTGTACGTATGGTTTTGTGTAAGATTACCACTGTGAGATTAGGATTGACGTGTCTACAGGTGTGTTTCACATCAGATGCTCTTTAAACCAACAAACATAGGCAATACTTACTTGGAACACATGGAAATTCGAAAATGGAAGAAGAGTGGAGACTGTACACACTGCTCTGTTTTCCACCATCCTTTGCCAGCCTTCTTTTGATTATGAATCCACAGTTGCATCAGTCTGAGGGATGTTAAAGAGAAAGCTGTAATTTCCAAAATGTTCCCAAAATCTTTGTGAAATAAAGTGAACTGTGATTATTACATTTGCTTCCATGTTTTGGTTCCAGGTATATATGACCAGCATTTCTAATCTGATCATGATTCACGAAACTAGTATTAAAATGTTTTCTAATTTTTCTTCTTCTTCTAAATAAGTAACAATGTGGAAGTCTAGCACATAAACAAACATAATGCACGTTGCCAGGGGTCAAAGACTTTAGATGCAAAGTAGCAATTCCTTAAAATTATTAAGTTAAAAGTTAAAGTCATCACCTATTAAACATTATGAAGATCAACAAATTATACAATTGTTATTCTTATTATTCTTGAAGCCTGTTAGACAATTTTAAATGCTTTTTTAACTCACGGTGAATATTCTTAATTTTTAAATTAATTTCTTTTTGAAAAAAATGAAATGTAGGTATCAAAAAACTGGAAGTACTCAAGTACCTGGAATAACACAGAGTTACACAGTATGTGGATGCAGACAGTGTGTATGAAGCTAGAGTACACTGTAGACTGAGTCTGTTCTGAGCCTCATTATTGTTAAAAAACACTGCTCTATTCTGCAGGATTGACAGGAAAAAGGATAAAATTGAAAGGAAGATCCTGGACAGCCAAGAGAGAGCTTTCTGGGATGTCCACAGACCTGTGGTAAGTCTCACATACACACTTCCTGTCTATGTGAGATTATAGCCACCCACCCAATCCGCATTCTCAAATAGTGCTGATGCAATGACATTGTTTTCTTTGGGGTGTTTTTTCTGCAGCCTGGATGTGTTAACACCACAGAGATGGACATCAGGAAATGTAGACGCATGAAGAATCCTCACAGAGTTAAGAAGGTAAAACCTTAGCTGTCAACTTTGTGACAGGAATCTTTTTAAAGAGATTTTTTAAAATATACCCCATGCAACAAGTTTATTCCTTTTTATTACATTTTTGTAAGTTGTGTTAAAATTCATGTCCCTTGCATTTTTTAAACAACATAACATATCATTTCCCACACTGCAAGAAAATAAGTGTACCTTCTAATACTTACCCACTTCTCCTCTCTCATCATGGTTGAATGGCCCAGTCGGTGTATGGTGTGATAGAGGAGGGAACACAGTCTCAGAGTCCCATACACACTCCTTTACACCACTGCAGGAAAGGCACCAAGGAGGATGTAGAAAAGGAGGTAAAAATCAGTTCAAATGTTGACAAAATTATAAGCCATCATTAGAGAAGATGTCAGTGTTTTGTGCTCTTTCTGCTTTTAACACCACAAGCACTGGATTTCACAGCCGCAGGCCAATTACAGAGAAGATTGGCAGACATTGTAACGCATTTTGTGCGGTGCCCACCTTGTCAAATCTTTTCAAATCTGCTGGATTGTTTTCTCGCACAAACAGTAATTATGAGAAATGGTAGCACTAACAGTATTGCCGATTGACATAGACACTGCCAGCTGACTCAACAAGCTCCTTTTCATTTATTTCTGTTACAGGTATTTGCTAGCTCTAGTTGAGATCATGCAATCAGATTCAAAAACCTTTATATAAAAAGATTTTTTGGTATAGTTTATTGCTCATTGTCTTTTTCAGATCGTATTCCTGAATACCCAGCTAGATCGTCACTGCATGAAGATGTCCAAAGTTGCTGAAAGGTACAGGAAACTTACTTCACATACACATTTAAAATGGAGCACAGCATCATGTCCAATCTCTATCTTGTCAATCTTGTGAGGCACTCTTTGTCGCTAAGGTACTCCGTTCCCATCTCCTGTACTCTCTGACCATCCATAATCAGACAAAGCTCTGTGCTACTGGCCTACCTTTTACTGTAACTCTCCTAGAGGAGTGGCAGACAGGGGATAATAGGTTTCTTGACACCTTATTTGGACCTGTGGAGGTTTCAGTTTGACATTCAGAGTCCAGAGTGCTGCTTTTGCTGTTTGGGTATGAAGTGGTTCAGTAAGACTGTATTTTGTCCCTGGATTTTCATGCTCAGTGTGACTATTAGATATACAGGTCTAAAGATAATGTGTGTGAATGGGTGGATGACTGGTAAAGCGCTTTGGGGTCCTTAGGGACTAGTAAAGCACTATAAAAAATACAGGCCATTTACCATTTGGGCTCAACATGCATTTTCATTACTTTCATTCTCTTGAATTTATCAATATGATGTCACATTTTCAAAATTTGAATAAGTATTGAGCTAATAATACACAATAGGGTCAAGGGTTCTAGAGAGGATGTTTGGGATGTGATGTGAAACTGCACAATTTTCATTTTAAATAATTTTTGTACAATACTCCAGCCCCATAAAGTCTATGCTTTTTCCTTTAACACATTAAGAACAAAACACTGTGTTTTTGTAGTCTTTTAAAAAACTGCTCACTGTACAGTTTCAACCGTCTTGCCCTGTTTAACGATTTGAACTTCAACTGAGAACAAGTCTTTAACTACACTATGTGGACATAAGCACTGGGCCACACACAGCATTATTGTTTTCAGTCCCATTGCCAAAGCTTATAATATCCTTCCAAACATTTGCAAAAGAATGGGTCACTTTCACAGAGTCACTCAATGAATTATCAAGTCAGTTCAAGAAATTCCTTTCAAAATCAACTTTATGTAGTATTATTGCAAAAGGGAAGAGTTTAATTGCAGGTTAGGGTCGCCAAGTGCTGAGGTATTTGGTGTGTAAAAGTCACCAGTGCTCTGCTTCTAAACTTCCCCTGGCATTAACAACAGCACTAAACTGTGCAGGGGAGCTTTGATTTTCATGGCTGGGCAGCTCTTGTAGGTGTCATCCTCAGGTGGACATCAAGTTTCTACTACGTTGTTGCTCATTCAGAGAACTCTGCACAGGAACATCCAAACAAACTCTGGGCTGTCTCTGTCTGTGGTCCTGATACCCTGCTTATCTTGCTCATTGCTGTTACAGAATGTACTGTATATTGTATTGAGCTTCTATAACTTCTGTTGGCCTGGTGTCTATGATTTTTATGGATCCTGGTATCTGGAATTGCATTTATTTGTTAGTCAATTTAAAACTTTCTGGAATCAGCATCAAAAATAAAAGGTCTGGAAACACATAAGTAAATGGAGTTTCTGCAGTTTTTTGTAATTTTTATAATTTTGTTTTTCTTTTTATGTATATAGCTCATATTTTCATGTGTTGTAATATGTAAATCAAAAAGTCATATTTAGATATAATGAAGCTTTTGTACCGTAGGGTTAGAAGGATATTACTGCTGTAAAGAGAAGAAGTTGTGTGTTTTTCCTCGCCTTCGTACAGCTTGAGGTCATGCGCTGGCAGTGCAGCGAAGTTGTAGTACATACATTTGTATGTTATTGGGGATTCTTGCATTATTGTTTAATCTGTGAGAAGGAAAATATTTTCTGCACAGTGTTGCTGTTGTTGTGAAGGACAGTCTGCTTCACTCTGTCTCTCACTTACCGTTTGTCTCAGACTACTCAAGACATCAGTTTCTTAATTTTACTGAAGAAAAACATGCGGTTCACTATTAACATTTACCTCAAATCATCAGCATGTCACTGCTGTCTCTAAACATATGATAAGCTAATGCCTCCTTTCCTTTGTCATGTGTGTCCATGTGTGTTGTTGCTGTTGTGTGTCAGTCTGATAGCCTACACTGAGCAGTACTTGGAGTATGACCCATTTGTGACATCACCTGAACCATCCAACCCCTGGACCAGCGATGACCCCACTTTCTGGGATTTGGAGGCTAGGTACGATCACTGTCAGTGGATATTTCAAGATATGTCTCTGCGTGCTGTTTTGTTGTTGTTTTCATAATCATGGTATTTTTAGAGGAAACTGTTTGATTATTTTAAAATAATTTCCAAACAACGTTTTCTGTTGTTGGGCTCTGTAACCTATAACCTTCCTTTTTGCCTTTTGGTGTGTAAATCTCAAAACCAATTTCACATAGAGCCCATAGGGGAAGGGAATTCTTTTCAAGGACACCTATTCAACGCTTTTTTAGGTGTGTGCAGTGTGAAAGCTCACACCACACCCCCCTTTGCAAGTAAATATTAAACAGACCGAAACCAATCTCACAAAAGGCAAATTCAAGTGTGAACGCACTCCATGTGCTGCCCTTGATCATATAGTTGCTGACAGCAGGCAAGTCCTGACAAAGTCGTTGAAGAAACGATCGTTGATGATCGGCTTTCATTCCAAAGTATTTCTTTTTGCTACTTATCAGCTTATTTTAACCCTGATTTGCAACTCAAAAATTTAAACGATCTGGATAATCAGAAATTTCACTGCACAATTCTCCTAACTTAAATGCTAAATGGTCTTTGAAAACTCGAAGCACCATCTTACTGCTGTAACAAGCCTCATTCACATACACATAAATACAAGTGCTTTTTCCCGACATTCAAACACACTTTGTTGCACCAGGGGGCAACTTTAGTATCTTGGATAAGTTTGTAAGAATTTTTTTTGTTTTATATATAAAATAACATTTTAAAATTCCCCTCTCACCCCTGCGGGCGGTCTATCCTTCAAGCTCGGATCCTCTACCAGAGGTGCAGTAACTTAACTGTTCCTAGGACTGCGCTCTTCTAGGGCAGAGTTCTCCGATGTTGTTCCTGAGCAATGTTCCATCTAACCTTCCTCTCGTGTTAGCTTTCTGTTATCATCTCTTATGTTAGCGGGTCGGTTTTGACCCGTGAATTAAATCAGCTATAAAATATACTAAAAACAATAAGTTATCATCCAATTTGTTTCTCATCTCTTGGTTACCTTGTTAGGCTTCCTTATCCATGCAAATGTTGGTTTTAATACTTT